AAAGGACTATGCAGGGAAGATGTCCAAAGCCCTGGGGATGTGACTGCATTAACGTGCTTATCGTTAATATTGAAGATAATGATGTTTTTTCACCCAGCTGGATACTTACCAAAATGTAAGAAGTCACATAGGCCAATTAAATAGTTTGTGCGATGTTCTAAAAGGCAGTTGAAACTCCTGGAAGGTACAGTATGATACACCACTGTGTGTTTTTGTTATCAAACTTTATAGCAATTGTATGCAGGCTCTGGTGGTCTTGTATTGCTGCTGTGTAATGAAGCAGCGCCTGAGAATACCCATGTGATTCATCACAAGATGTCCACAGAGAACCAGTTGTAATTGCAGAAAAAAAGGTTCATCTTCTGCAATAATGCATCATTATTGTGCTGTCCTATCTCTCTTTGAGCAAATAAACTGTGCTCTCTTGCTAGACTGAAACCCTGGATGACGAAGTAGGGTGAGGAGGAATAAAGAATGCAAAACGGGAGGCTAGGGAGGACAAAAATAATGTATCTGTTCTCGCTCTCGTTTATTAGTGTTAACATGTGGACACAGCAGAATGGCTGTAAAAGCTGGCGTGGCAGGGCAGACGACCCGGCGATGCCAGGGGCCACAAAAGAGGCAGCACTGTCTGCTGAACGTGGAACCAGAACAACAATAGTGTCTCTGCAGTACGGATGAAGCCAGGCTACCCCGTGCCAGCGTGTCACTGGCTCTTTGAGAGTTAGTGTGTCTCTGCCAACCTGGACCAGAGTGGCACAGAGAACACAGCTTCTCCCAGCACTGTTCATTGTCCTCTCACGTCAATGTCTAACGTATTGTGTACACTTTACCCAGCCTGGGCCAGGGTGTTTTTCTCTCTGCTGATACTGATTGCGATAGGTGTTTGTCATTAAATGTTGTATTTGTGCGTCTGTCTGTGGTTCAGATCAGACTCAGTGTGATTTACACTCTGCCCTTTGCTCCTGCTGTTGTTCCCTGGAGGTCTGTTGCTGCAGAGATAGCGCGGGAGCAACCTGTCGTAAAGATGGGCCTACATGACATGGCTGCTTGCAAACACACTTACACATACAGGCTTGTACATGAACGCAAGCCTAACCCAACCTTTGACCATTATACTGGCATCACACTGAGTTCTGTACTTTCTGTGCACACCTAGGAAGAAGCTCTTCATAACCTAAGGGCTCATGTATTGAGAACACATGAATAACCTTGCTTGGAATTTTCCTGATAAGCCATACTGGTTTCCGCATGTTTGCGAATGCTGCTCATGATTAACAAAAGTTAATGGTTTATACTTGTTCGCAGGAATGCTTCAACTGCAAAACGACTTTTTTATTATATAATTGAACCTCCTTCAACATTGGAAGAAGACTCCAAAAGCGGAGAAAAGTCTTTATAAATTGAAGATTATCCACTGTGTTAAACACAATTCATGCAATATATTTTGTGTGTTGGTGTACCTTTTCAATCAAAGTCTGTTGATCGAGTCGTCTGCTCACTAATTGCACATGCATTTTTGCGGTTCAAGGCAGTTTGCATACACAGCCTCACGACTTTGCGGGGGTGCAACTCGTCCAGACTTGTGTGTGTGTGTGTGTGTGTGTGTGTGTGTGTGTGTGTGTGTGTGTGTGTGTGTGTGTGTGTGTGTGTGTGTGTGTGTGTGTGGTGTGTGTGTGTGTGTGTGTGTGTGTGTGTGTGTGTGTGTGTGTGTGTGTGTGTGTGTGTGTGTGTGTGTGTGTGTGTGTGTGTGTGTGTGGTGTGTGTGTGTGTGTGTGTGTGTGTGTGTGTGTGTGTGTGTGTGTGTGTGTGTGTGTGTGTGTGTGTGTGTGTGTGTGTGTGTGTGTGTGTGTGTGTGTGTGTGTGTGTGTGTGTGTGTGTGTGTGTGTTTTCACATATAATAGGAAAAACATAAATGGAGATAGGGTGTGTCCCATGCTGTAGTTTTGGCATACGAACACTTTATGCCAGGCGTGTCCAAAAAGGCCCATCAATTCACAGCCTGACACTGTTGCTCACGCAGGATAGGGGGAAAGACGAGCCGAATCATGCCCAGGGCTGTGATGCTAACATCTTCTGCCTTGAGTCAAATTCAACAAGGGGCTGGGAGGCTGTTATTGAAGAGAGCCAGACGGAAGGCACAGACAGGGTGATGAAAGACGCTTAGCTGGATGGATGAGCGATGATGAGAGGGGAGAGGCACATGGCTCCAATCACAGCTCCTTTCTCTACCACTCTTTATCTGTCTATATCTGTCCAACTATTTCCACCCCGCACTTATTCTCGCCCTTTCTCATTTGCTCACTGTCTGTCTTCTTCAGTGTTTCTCTTTCTCTCCCCTTTATCATACAGTATGACTCGTGTATTAGATTTATTCAATTTTAGCTCCTTGTGGGTTTTTTTTTTTTCCTGTGGATGGGCTTGTGTCTGAGCCTGGAGTGTGAGATTGCTTCGGTTTGCTGATTACCTCCAAAGTGGTTGTACATCTTCTTGATTTCTTCCCTCTGAGAAAACATGCCACACTTTTAGAGTTTCAACTGAAACTGTCCTGTGTTGTTATGGGTGGGTGGGGCTGGAGGGAAAGTAGAGGTGGGAGTTGTATTTCTGTTTTTAGGGGTGACTTGAGTTTAAAGGGTGGGGTGGGGAAGTGTGAGCGTTGTCATATGGATGAAATTAAGCGCTTCCAATAACTTCAGTGGCTTACATTATAATGGGTGTGTGTGCGTAGTGACTCTGAACACGTGCAAAGCAGTCTGCGGCCTGTGTTTGTCGACAGCATTTGCATGGTGACACCGAAACCAACCATCCTACTGTAGGGTTTCACTCAACCTCCTTTCAGGACCAAAAATATGTTGATAGACAGACTTCTGCTATTTTGAGCTTTATTTCAGTCCCTATCATCGTTGTTGAGATCTCACGTCGATGGTACGCTTCACAAACGGTGTGAAGGAGACTCTCCTGCATCTGTATTTCAATGAGAACTGACACAGGAGCTGCGCTGTGAAAAGGAGCTGGGTCAGGCGGATGTCTGGTTCTCAGTGTTGTTGTGCCTGTGACAAAGAGAATAGACAGCAACCTGAGACTCACAGGCCTGTTTGTTTCACATTATCACATTTCAGCAGCCAGGAGGGACTAGACCTAAGCATCATGGGAGAGTGGCATTTTTAGCTGGGAGATGTTCGTGTTCTTCTTTATAACCAGATTGTTATGGTTCATAGAAATCTCAGACACATATATAGAATGAGTTATTGTTTGCATGTAAATCAAAAAGGTAGGGACTTTTTTCCCTATAAACTCAGGCTTGCATTTCACAAAAATGTCAAGAGTTCAAACACTTAAATCTAAGGTATGAAGATGCTTTTGAGGAAAGTTTTGTCCTGGCCTGTAAGGACATTCCTCTACATGAGACTTCCTGTTCACCTCTGCTTGTTTTTGAAAAACAACTCATTGGCAGAAGTTAATGATTGTCTCCGAACTCTGGGACTCAAGCAGTTAGACTTAATGATGTATTGCTCAATATGTGTTTTATCAGAGGATACAGAGTGTGCCCTCGGAAAAAAACAAATATTGACATCTCCGCTACAGTATGTGGACATTTCTGATGTTTGATTTGGGTAAGCACTCCCCTTTTCATATCAGCTTTCTCTCCAGATGAGATCACTAAATGCTCGCATTGCTGCCACATGTGATCATACATTTCTATCTCCCGCTTGAAGTTGATCCGCTGGTTAAATCTCCTCACCGTGCCGTCATTCCCTCCCATATGTGGTGTCATGTTGAGCTGTGTGATGTTGTTGCCACATCAGATAGGCTGTTGCTCCCCAGCAGAGTTTGCTGTTTGGCGTCTAAACAGCGGAGAAGTAATGGTGGTGCGGGCAGCCAGGTCAGCGGGGGGGGGGGAGGGCTTTGTTAAGAAAAGCATGGAATTCTTCCGGCTGGCAGATGAAGTCAGTGCATTCCTTCAAAGCAGCTCCCTTTAGGCGGCCAGTGGAGCAGAGCCAGGCGCTGAATGAGGGGCACGATAATGGTGGGGCTCGGCATTAAACACCTCCCGTTGAGAACCGGAGAGACTGGCAGAAAGAGAACACCATCTGTCTGACTCTGGGTGAAGAGTTGTCTTCTAACCACCTCGGCTACAAAGTTTCATTCACTGTGCCAAGTGCTATAGATAATCCTACCACCGCTCCAGGCAATTCACTTTTTATGAGCACTGCGGTATTTTATTTCCTTGTTTTGAAGCTAAGCAGTAAAAGTACAGACAGACAGACAGACGTAGTACCGAACATAACATTAATTTAGGTTGAATCTGCTTCACAGACATGTTAAGATACCTGCTGATCTGCGCCCTGAAGTCTAATGAGACCCAGTTATGGTCCTGCTGAGGGGGTTCAAACAGAGGGACACACTCTCTTGCCATGTTTTTATGTATTTCTACCGCACAAACACCCTCTCCCAAACATAGACACACTTGAGTTGCTCCACTTTCCCTGTCCGTTCCCCTCGGCAGTAAGCTATCATAACGGCTTTGAAGGAGGGCAGCAGAGCGTTTAATTGGGTTACAGATTGGCATTTATGCTTCCAGGTCCACGAGATACTGCCGGGGCTCTTAACTAACCACCAGGAACTGAACAAAAATGCAACGCTGCTCTACCCATTGGCTGCTGGTGTTGAAATGTACAATTCAATCATACCCTCGAGCGGCAAAGTACATTTTCTACGTCATCATTGTTTAGTGTAGAAACTGGTATTTCAACAACATCTTACAAGTGAGGGTGGCTGGGTAAGTGACAACTTCTAGTGTGTTGTGTTTTGGTTAGCAACAAGTTGTCTCATGTTGGGGTAAGATAACATCATGATCAGTGTAGACTCTAGAAATCAGTGTGAGGCTTTCTTTTGTCCATTGTTTCTACTGTCAGCAAATTCTGCTCTAACCACTGGAAAAATTGCATTGCTAATATCAATCCTCTCAACACACATTTCTCTTTGTTCTTGTTTTTCAGAATCAGTGCCATGCAGTGTTGATTTAACAAAAAGCCAATCTGAGGAAATCTGTTCTGAAGACCTTTTAACCCTTCACCCCGTCAGTGTCCTGAGATGGAGCTCAAAGTGTGGGTGGACGGAGTGGTGCGGGTCGTGTGCGGCCTGTCGGAGGAGACGTCCTGCCAGGATGTGGTCATCGCTCTGGCCCAGGCCATCGGTGAGTCCCTCAAATTCTTTAGTGTGGTGAGATCATGGGGTGGTCATGTTGTGATACCAGCATCCAAGCTGTTTTGACTTGGCACCTTGTTTGTCTGCTTGATCACTTTATCTTACGGCCTCAAGTGATTAGATAACAGGTGATGTGGGCCAAACAAAGAGTACTTGTTCGTTAACATTTTTGCAGCATTTCAGTTGCTGCTCTCACCTTTTTTATTCACCCCTAACTTAAATTGAGTATTATGTCAGATTGCTATATCCTCCGGCTTTATTCGAGCTTCACGCTGCAGCAGTGTTGAACAACATAAATCCAGATTTAGCAGTCTCCTCCTTCCATGAGTGAGCTGCCTGCCGAGTCATCAGGGAGGGCTTGTCCTAATTTCAAGGTCCTTGTGGAAACTTCAGTTTATTTGAACATGTTTTACTTGTTGTGCAAGTCTTGCACAGCAGCCTTTTATTCCAATCCTCGGAGGCAGAGATTTAAAGGCATCAGCATCACCATTATGCTGCTGATGTCATTTGCTCACTTAGTGCTACTTGCGTAGAAGCAGTAGGAGGAATCCGACCAAATTGCACTGAAGGAAAAGAAAGGTCTTGAATGATTTATGTAACAGAACTATTTATTAATATAACTGAGTGTCTTTCAGCTTTTCACCTTTCATATAGTAATCTTTAAGGGCAATTTAGATGTTTTTAATTTGATTGCAGTATGTCTGTGTATTAAATATGGACTCACTCTCTGTCTCTCTCCCTCACAGGTCAAACAGGCCGTTATGTTCTGATCCAGCGTCTCAGGGATACCGAGAGGCAGCTGTTGGCCACAGAGAAGCCTCTGGAGTCTCTGGCTAAGTTAGGCCAACATGGCAGTGAAGTTCAGTTCTTCCTGCGCCGTACTGGCCCCAGCAGCAGTGACGGACCTAGCCCAAAACAGGACAGACCAACTCCCCCTCCCCTGCCCAGGCATCCTGAGCCGGAGCCTTTGAAACGCAGCCAGCCTAAGAAGGCCCTCACCTTTAACTTGGGGCCTTCCACCTCTCCTAGATCCAAAGCCAAACAGTTTAAGAGGTCTCCTCAGGACTCTCCAGAGCAAAGAGCCTCTCCTTCCCCTTCTCCCAGCCCTGTACCCTCTCATGTGCCATCTCCAACACCACCTATAGGCCCATCCAAAGAGGAGGTGTTTAGGAAGGTTCTTCAGCAGCAGGAGAGAATGAGGGCTATGGAGGCCCAGCTAGAAGCCCTAGAGAGGGAGTCGCACTCCTGGGATCGTCCCTACCCATCTCCGTGTCCTTCACCTGTTTCTGACGCTCGCTTGCAAGAAGAGATGGACACCATGGAGCAAGCGCTGCGGAGGAACCAGGCCGAGCTCGCCGACGAGCAGTTCTGGGAGGAGGAGCTTCAGGCGGAGATGGAGCGAGAGCGAGGAATGAGGAGGAAGGTCGGGGAGCTCCACGCCAAGCTAGACGACTGTGGACGGCGGCTCCACGAGTTCTCCGTGCGCTCTGTTCAGCTGGAGCAAGAGATCCAGCGGGAGAGCCAGACGGAAGGGAAAGCCAACGGGCCGGAGGAATCCCTCGATGTCGTGAAGGCAGAAATCCAGAGCCGGGAGAATCAAGGGACAGAGCTGGAGGGGAGGCTATCTGAGACTGAGAAGGCTCTGGGGAAGGCAGAGTCTCTGATGCAGGTAAGGAGAGAGGTGACGGTTCTTGAGAAAGGGCTTTAAATCCAATCAGCCCGTGTGTAGTCATTTGAGGGGTGTAGCGTAGACCCTCTTCTAACTTTACTGTAAAGCTGTATCCCTCTCCTACCTGCACGTCTGCAACACACAAACAACAGTGCAGAGACACTTGAACACATGATTTATCGTGACAGTTTTTATATATAATAAATTATCCTACAAATGACGATGACTGAATGAATGCTGTACGCTCATATCCTGCCTTGTATCAAAATGTTTTATTCTCGAAAGGACAAATTACAGTGTAGCCGAACTGGTTTGGCAGGTATTATCTTGTATGCATGTTCTGAACACATGGTTACTAATGGTGTTAATATTACATTGCCAGTATCTCTATATTCTTGTACCCTGTGTAAAAAGAGATTAAAGAGGATTGATTTGTAGAACAAAAGCCCCTTTATTGGATCTACTCGGCCTCAATTCATGGTCGTTTTATCGTGTCATGTCTGTTTACTTTTGGTGGTTGTCATAGATGCGACTGAATCAATAAAAGCCTAACCCAGTTAGGAACAAACTCAAGTTTCCTCATAATCCACATGAAACAAAGACTCGGGTGTCCACTTCATGAAGCTCATTCACATTATAGTGAAGAATACATTATTTTTTTAATTGGTGGTATGGTAGATTGGGTTTTGAATGTTCTGCCACAAGGAAATAGAGCACACTGAAAACATGTGTAGTGTAGTGTTTCCATATCTTGATTAGCAAAGACCAGCCGGACTGAAATACCTTTGTGTCCCATTCTCAATCCACTGAGCTACAAGTAATAACTGGCTGCAAAACTGATTAAAACATAATGATAATCTTATTTGCAGTCATACTCCTGGGGATGTGTGTGACTCTAGGGGTGAACTCAACAGATTAAGTCCCCGGTTGATGGAACAGAGAGGCATTGTGTCATGATCAATTTGCCAATTATATAGAAAGCATCCTGCTGCAGAACAGAGGTATTAGGCTTTTGTTTTTTCATACATATTATGTACCGCCATGTCATAACAGGACTGCAATGTTGTTAAATCCGAATGTAACCACAGAGGCATTTAGCCACCCAGGCAGCTCTTGCCTTGAAGAAATAAGATGAAATGATTTCCTCTAAATGACATGACATTACGGTAAAATAATACAGCATAATTCCATAGTAAGGAGAAGGTGTGCATGTCTGGCTGTGTCAGTCATCAGTGAGCTGATTGGTCCAGGCTGCCAGCCGAGTGTTTAAGCGTTGGTGGTGATGAGCACAGCGTTCCTGTCATTAAGCTAATGGAGGGCAGACCTGCAGGTGTGAACTGCCTCAGCAGGCGGCCTCAGTCCAACATCAATTACTCCTTCACACACAAACACACACTGGGGTAAGGGACTATAGCATATTCCTGCTGCTGCTGCTTCCTGTACTGGGTGCAGACACATTGATTAAGCACAAATGGAAAGTCGATTAAGAACCAATTGACCGGCCTGCATGTGTGCATCACAGTTTAATGTGTGGGCGCAGAGGTGATGCCACAGTCTTGATTGAGCATCTCTGAGCTCCACGTTGTCAATAATTGGAGCTGATGAATATCTTGGCTCCTGCGGCATCTGGTCGATTATGAAAACTCTGAAATGCAGCAGGCGAATGAGCATTGTTACGTATCCGTCTATAAGTGTAGGTCTCAGGCGGCTGAGATCTGATGGAATCAGAAAATAATGCTTACGGTAATTCTGGGACTTTGATGATTTGTCGGATCTATATTGTATGATGATAGTCTGTTTCAATGACTTGGGACTAGACTTGTAGACTCTACTGCCCCCTTATGGTGAAAAAGTAACTTGACACTTACAGGAGAGGTTATGTGACTTAAAGGCAAAATACAGGAGTCCTGCCTTTATGTATTAATACATCCTACTTTTTTTTTTACAAATAAGACAATATTAAGCAACATTTAAAACACAAGGAGAGCTAGGAGTTCAATGTCATGCAAAACATACTTATATCTACTGATTGACAGGCCTGTTAAGCTCATCCCATTTCCATATGCTGCGCCCAGTTACAGGCAAACAGGGTGACAGTGTTCACTGGGTCAATACTGAGTGATGTGAGCTCTCAATCGTCCTTTCTTTTCGTCACCGATCCATTTCCCTTTCTATCTCAGGCCAAACAGGAGGAGCTGGAGGAGTTGAATAAGGAGCTGAGGCAGTGTAACCTGCAGCAGTTCATTCAACAGACAGGTGTGCTGCCAGCGCACACACACTCACGCACAGAGCTTCAGGAGCAACTGGAGCAATTAGAACTGGCACATCTTCTGCACGATGGATACAGGAACGGAAGTATGGAAACAAGTTACATTTCAACACTGTATACTCTGCTATAGATGATGTGCCCTCTAAACACATTTCTGTCTCTCCGCCAGGCTACGACGTAACTCAACTGGAATCGCCGCCTCGCCCCACTGCCAAACAATTCCTGGGACATCCACGCAACCTGCAAAACCCTTTAGTGTCCAGTCTCAACCCTGAGGGTGTGTATGTGTGAGACCCTCCATCCCGCTCTGCTCCTCTCCTGCCCGTCCCCTGGTCCCTGAGCCCCTTGCCCCCCACTCTTTCTACCCCAGCTTGTTTGGGTGTAAGGCTTCATCTGCCGTTTTTGGTTTTGGGTGATGGAAGCATCTGTTTGGTGGAGGTCGCTGCTAATTATTTCGCCTCTTCCCTGGGCTCTACCTTTTTAAAGACTAAAATACTTCTTCTCTGCCCCTAACCCTCAGTCTTCTGCTGATTCCCGTCTCCTTTTTAACAGCTGACTTAACACATTCCTTCTTTGAATTTTCTCACATAATTCTGTGGGTCTACTTATCCTTTTTTAGTTGTCTCCAGTCCCCGCCTTCCTCCTCTCTCACTGCTTTCGGACTAACATACGCTACTTTCTTTATACTTTAATACATCTGGGAACTTTCTCCTATCTATCCCCCTCTGTAAAACAGAGCGGCCTTCCCACCTTCAAGTCAACACTCATCTACCAACAGCCGCTTTTCCGCCGTATCTCCATGTAACAAATCAATCACCGCACTGGGAATGACTGTAGCAGACATTCTGATTGTAGCGCTGTTTTTATACTGTGACATGGAATGATATGAGACAAATGCCATTTCAGTTTGCCTTTTATGTATGGATACTATTTATATGTGAGGTGGGGTGTATCTATACAATGCCTTGTACTTTGGTGACACTTGACTTCCAAAGAGCAAGAGCCTTTTCACGAAAGGGCTCTGCAAAATGTATTGCACTGTCCCATTCTCTTCCTGTGTGAAGCCTTGGCCCTGTTTGCCTGCAGAGAAATGTATCCTTCTAATCTCTTTCTGCTCCAAAACTATTTTATTTGACAAGCTTATAGCCTTTGCCAGTCTATTTTTGTCACGCTCCCTGCTAAAACAAGGGATACATTTCACAAGTAGCGCAACAAGGCCATGGTTTGTTACGATATCTTTCTTTTCCTCCTGTGGGATGGATGCGCCTGGTTCTTTTTGCTGCCATTACACCGAACATTTGACCTGTCATAACTTGTGTTGTGCCTCAGTGTACTAAAACATAGTATGAGCTTACTTACATAAGCACTTATAACAAACATGAAGCGAACATGAGCTGCTGTTTCCAGTGCTTTTGATGTCTCCATTATAAACAATACTGTTTTCCAGAAAGGACCCTCCAAACCACCTAAACCAATATTTACCGTATCATAGCACTTAGCATATCTTTATGGCTCACTGACAGGTCAAAGTGACGTGTGCACTCTCTCCTTATTGTCTACAGTGTGGTGTTTTCTTTGGTGGATTATATTCACTACTTGCTTGGGAAACTACATCTTAATGTTTTCTTAAAAAACAATTCTGTCAATGCTGACTACAAGACTTCAGTTATGGTCCACAGCCCTCTGCTGGTAAAGGACCCAATAACTGGTCTTGTGTCAGCTAATGCTTTTCATGTGTGAATTTCTGGAGTGACCCCCAGTCGCTCCTGCTGTGTCTTAGCTATAAAATGTTTTATAAACAAAGGGATCATCATCCCCAATTATTTTTGTGTGTCTTGCAGTCCTGACATCCCGAGAGTCGTCATGGAGATAAAACATGGACCGCAGGGCCAAAGGAGTTGTTCACTGTTCTGTCACCGTCACCTCTTATCAAACCCCTTTCTTTGTAATTCATTATTTAATCGAATATGATATACATACTGTATATACATAAGACAAATATATTTGAGATTTGCTACTGTAAACACTGCAAAGTATCTGTATGAAATGTAAAATAATTTAGAAAACTTTTACCTAGAGCAATTATTACTATGAGTGTATTTAAATATAATAAAAATGTGCATTGTGTATAAGATAATATTTCGTCAAGTTTTATTATGCCCTGTTCAGGAAGTCAAATGTCCTTGTAATCATTCTTGTAACTGCAGTAACTGAGAGGAAGGTGCAGTGCTTCTGGAATACTCTGCAGTAAATAATTAACACACCAGTGTGCACTTTCGAAAAATGACAGTGCCATGAAGCTCCTATGTGAAATGCATTATGAATATGTTATAGGTACTAAAATATGAATGCTCTCCTCATTACCTCTGGTTCACGGGTCCATCATTTCACAATCATTGCTGTGTGTTTTGAAGCCAGTCTTCACAGGTGGCTGATTGAGAGTTCACAAAGTTCATCCTTGGATGCAGAGGGAAATGTGGCAAACATCCTGGTATAGCTGCCCCCACTGATATGGGTGATGTAACTCAGTATATCTACAAGACATGTGACCATAAAGGCACGAGGGCACAACAGAAGTGAGATCATTTGTGGAAGCTGACAATAAATCTATTGAGTTGTGTATATATACATTGTTATTGTCATTGTTTTAAAGTGTATTGTGTGTTTTGGCGTTCAAATAGGGTTAATGTTTTTATTCTTGGAACCAGAAACATTTAGAACATTCTGTAAAAACCCCATTTAAAAAAAAAAATGTTTTGTCTATAAACACACAGTTGCACTTAGACGGCTACTGCATAACACTTTTGTCCTCCACCCCTTTCCTGTTTGTTTACCCTGGAGAGTAAATATTCGGTCTGTCACACACTGGGTGACGTGAGCCTTCCTTGTGCTCTGGCTAACCCCTGACTGAAACCCTGTGGATTTCTATAAATACCTTATGTGGTCGCACTTGCCTGGTGAAATCCTAAACGCGCACATATTTCCCTTTCCATTACACCATATGCACAAATTCGGTTTCAAAAACAGATGTCATAAGGTTTCTTCATAGTTAATTTCCACTTTGGGACCTTGTTTACTATGGAGAAGTATGTGAGATCCCTAGTTTAGATTAATGATGTACAATTGGATCTTACTTAGAAGATTTGGAGCTGTCTGGCTCCGCAGGGGTTAGATAAGCTCTAAATCCTTGTTTCCCTCAGTCTGGACAAGCCCACAGCATGGTGCAACTCTGAGCCCTAACTGTACACGGAGTATCAAGGATACTGTACAAACAAGTAAAAAAACAATGTCTTTCTCTTTGTACTTCCCTCTTACCCCTATCACATTGATCCTATTATATCAGTCTCACATGCAAAGTGAAATATATCCAACCTCCCCCACTTTCAAATCTAAACCCAGAGGACTCCAATCTCGTAAACAGGACATTAACAGATTATGATGATGCAGGACAGGACACCACGCCGAGGGAATTATAAATGCTCATACAATTGCACTCCTTATGAACTCAAGGTTTCGGATGAATCTAAAATGGATTACAAAGCTAAACGTTTGACTACCTTTTTTATGAAATGATTGATGAGCATTTATAAGAAACAGGCAGTGAGTGCCCGGGAAAGAACGTCCTTGTCGTCTGGTGAGAGTGAACATCTGCACGTCCACATTATGATGATGAATGGGGCCACAAGTTAATGAGTCTGACATACTGCACTTATCTATTCCTCTGTGACACACTTAGAAACAAATGGGTATGAAACATTCTCACTGATTCTAAGAAATACATTACACACTGTAGTAAAACAGAAAGTAAGATACAGGAAGCCACAATTGGTTGGAGTAGAAACTTTACTTGTCACTTTAAAAATACATTTTACATGTTACAGATACAGATTCTCTTACTTCTAACAAACTTGTAAATAACTGAACATCTAGTAATATAAAGTGGTGGACACACTGAAATAAACTTCAGCAGCTTTATAGTAATGCTTATTTTTGCTGGAGGACCCCCAGGAAACCTCTCCAAGAAGCCCTAGAGGGCAGTTCAAATTAGGAATCAGTATCATTATCTTGTCTGAGCCACACAGATGACACAGAAACTGCAACAAAACACTCACCAAGAGTCGGCAGTAGGGGGCATTAGAGACGTCTGCCCTATAGGAGGCAAGGCAAAAGCCACTGGCCCTAAATAAAGAACATATGTGAACATAGGAGGAAGTAGGCTACAGTACACATGGACACCACTGGGAGGGCAGGCATGTTTAGCAGTATACTGTCCCAGCAGTGAACATGGGACATAATGATAGAGGGCTGCCTGTAGATCTACTGTAGGTGTTTTTCTGGTCCGGTGGTGGCTGGACTTGGGCGAGCCAAAAAATATGAAGAATTCCCAAAACCAGGTTAGCCGCTGTCACACGCACAGTGGAATTGGCAACTGGCACAATGTGCGTTAGTCAGTGGCTTACCTGCTTTTAGATATCAGATATCATACTGATAAGCATAAGCACACACAATCTGTGGAGTAACAGACAAAGGCTGTGAAATACAACAGTCAAATCAGACACATGAGGTGTGAAATGGAAGGCTAGTTTTTCTAGACTATTTGTATCACTTATATTTAGAAATACCGTTATTTAAATTAATCACATTACAAAGATTATATAACAGTTCAATTAAATCGACAATTGTCTTAAAGCCTCTTTTGTCCCAAAAATGTAGGCTACTTAAACATCTGAAAATACTGATGGTTCACGATGTCCCGAAACACATCACATTGCTTTTAATGTCATTAAAAGTTTCACAATAACCAATATGTGATAATTGTAAATAAATTATTCAAGAAATTGCATCTATGATATGTTGGATGAGGTATTTAGAATAAAGAATAGTGGAAGATAAATGGATACTTACCAGTCCCAAGTTTTCTTTTGGATTAATTTTAAATGAAAAGAACATTTCATTTTCGCCAACAGCACGCCACAAACCATCTATCCGAAGTTCAAAATTGTTTTTTCTCTAAAATAAATCACTGCGCATGGCTTAAGTTAGGTGCATTTTGAGGATAGAGTACACCGACGCTGAAGTTCAGTTCACTTGCACTATTCCCTACCCTGCCCACTCCCCTGCATCTGCAACCCGACCTGGTTATGCAAATTTGAAAGAAACTAACAACGGGTGCAGCCAATGAGCTGCCGAGTTAAGGTGAAGTAGCCCACCCATTAAAGAGACTCGTCAAATCAAAACCGGGGGGGGTGGGCTTTATAAGGGCCAGCAAGTTCAACTGATCTGAGAGTTATAGTTGGGGTGCGGCGCGTTCAGTTCTGCACGTCGTACATTAGGAATAAACCATTCTCTCGATAACAGTTTCTTGGCCTTAATGATTATTTATCGCATACAGCAATGCGACGCAGGTTTATTTACCCTTAAATCACATTATATAATGCTGGAGCTGCTAGTACATGTGGGATAAATGTGCTTTAAGCCGGTCTGACAAATATCACCCCACCCCTACAGTGCAAAGTGGTTGAACTCGGTTTACTTGTGTACAGTGTTGCCATGAGCAGAGTGTGGCTGTGCACGTACCAAGGATGCAGCATGACAGCCTGATCTGATGATGACGACAGGGAGGAGGGCCATTATGATGATTTACACTATTAGCAGAGTGAGGGTTTAAGGATTCCTCTACAATTTTAATATTAATTAGTTGACCCTTAAATCTCCCATGTACAAAGTTGGGTGCATTAAGACCTTCAATACAGAGGTTTCATTGGAGTGAAAAAAAAATATTGACATCCCAATATAACACATAGGGATAGGTCCACCATATATTGTATTTATATTATAATTGTTTTATCAACCATTTCGTCTGGTATATTTATAAAAAAGTCCTCTTTTAGATATGCACAAAAACATCTCTTCACCAGATTGACCCTCTTGAACTTGTCAGCTGGGACACGATGTTCTTTCTCTGATTCTTGTATATCATCAAGCAACCTTTGTGGTTTAGTTAGGCCTATTCTCAAGATGTCTTCTGACCAGTATTTGTCTGCCAAAACCCTGTCGGATTATTTACAGCCAGGATACACATAACCCCATAAACTCACAAATCAGGATTACATTATATTATGTAACAGCTGTTTTGCAATGTAACCAAGACCACTAGGGGGCGACAGTGGCACCTGTTTACAGTATTGGCTCCATGTGGCTTGTGACAGGTGTATTAAAGATTTGATAATAGGCTGATTGAAAAAGTTGACAAGATTATTGAGACTTTAAAGGAAATGTTTTCATTATAATGTAATAAGAAACGGGTAATAAATGTGTAACTTAAACTTGCTTATATGAAATGTGCTATAATAACTATAAATAGCACAACAAATCAGTTCATTATTTGGGTATCACATGTTAAAATGGTTAAATTAGCTGCTTAAATGTGGTTGTAGTACCAGTATTTGGTCTTTACTCTGATATGCATTAATATTAGGCCTACTGTGATCCTAAAGAAACGAACACTGTCTCTTTAAGAGTTACAGCCTGAATGCACTCTGCCATTTCCGTCTCTAACCAGCCGGTGGTGTCACTCAACAACCGTGGAGACTTCAGACACTTAAAATCACAACTCACTTTACTGAGTAGGGTAGGTTTGGTTAAAATGATTGTTTAATGCTAAAATATGCAATTTAGGTTGTAAGGTTTTTGGGAAATGTGTGTAAGTTCCCCTACACAATGTATTGTGCAGACTCCAAGGGAGCTTGCAACGTTAGTTGACATTCGCTAAATGTAGCTATACTGAGGCTAGCTAACACGTTACCCTGAAGCTCATGGTAGTGGCCAGCGACATTTGTTCATTTAGAACAGCGTTAGAGCTTAGTCTCACATTCTTGTTATTGCATATATCTTTAAAATACACATCTAAATATATAATGGGTGCATATTTTATCTACGGCACAGAGAAAGCACTCTGTTAGCTGCGGTGATTTCTTCTTTGTTTACAAATGTAGCCATAGTATAGCGTGCAGGCTGCTCCTAGCTAGCAAGCTAATGCTAGATAACCTTTAACTGTGTGTCTTCTAACAATACAGGTAATGTACAGCATTCGGGAAATGTAAAACTGTTGTTTTTTTACTTTTATAAACTACTCACGACTTCCAAAATGTCAATCGTGCTTAGTAAGAAAATCTCGCTTGGTTTAATGTATCCGTGTACTGTAGTCATTACTATATTCCAATGACCAAGGGCACATGCTTGAGGATCACTTTCCCTCTCTGCTCAAAGACTCGGCCTGATATCACCTTGTCATTCCATAGAGTCGGTTGATTGTCTTTCCATCATCTCCTGTCCTCTCTGAACAGTGAGTTGATTGGCTTACATGCAACCAAAACACCTCAGTCCTAATGATATTCTTTCAGACCACTTGTGTCATAGTTGTTCAAATTCAGCTTGTACAACAGACAATTCCAAACATATTCTGCTATTTAAACACTATCTGTAATTCTGGTCTATCTTCTTAGGATTCCTTAAGAGAAAAGCTGTGTTGCTGTTGAGAAATTGTTCAGCTGATTTTCTGATGGTCAGCCATGGATGAAGATGACAGCCAAGAGGAGCTGATCAACCGCAGTACTTCCAACAGCAAAGGAAAAAGGCCTGCGTTGTGGGCAATCTCAGGTAGCCTGTTTAACATGTTATTCATATATATATATATATATAATATATAAGAGCATGAGAATGAATGAGTAAATATTTTAATCTAAAGTATACTTTTATTTAACTCCTCATGCATTTGTGTTCCTCTTAGATGACTCGGACAGTGGGGAAGCGGAGTCTGAAGAGGGAGAATCTGAGAGTGGTGAGGAAGAAGAGGATGATCATCTAGGTGGAGAGGATGATAGTGATGAGGAAGATGATGATGAGGAGGAGGAGGAAGAAGAAGATGGGAATGAAGAGGAGGATGGTACTTGTTATTTCATGTTACAAGATTATCATGTCACTTTTTTTGCTCAACTTATGTTTCTGTTTTAGGTTTATACAGCCCAATAGCAAATACATTTAAGTGTAAGCTACTCTGATTCAACCTACACAAGTTTTGTAACTTAAGTAACCTTAGTTTGTCTGTAGAGTTAAAGAGGAAAATGTGCCTCTTCGATATGCACTACACACATGTTGCGTGAAATAAGTATAACATTATTTGCTCACTACTTTTCTTTTATGCTGCAGCATCAATGAATAAAATATGTAAATTGCATTCACAATATATTTCTACCTACTTTTATCAGATGAGGAAGAAGAGGGAGACGCTAAGGCTGAGGATGGAGCTTTAGTTGGAACCTCTGCTGATCTTGCCGACATGAGCTCGGATGAAGACGCAGATAAATGTCCCATCTGCCTTAACTCCTTCAGCAGCCAGCCTGTCGCAACACCAGAGAACTGCGAGCACTACTTCTGCCTCGACTGCATCCTTGCATGGGCCAAGGTAAATTATATGAACCCAAGGAGAAAGCACTTTGTTATAAAGCACGTTATATCTTTTTCTTGTGAGTACATACTTTGCATTTACGAAGCATACATCTTGGAGGAAGTAGAAAGGTTAATTCTGACATTTTTGTTTTCTGCCTTTTAGAATGCAAACTCGTGTCCTGTGGACCGTATTGCCTTCAACAGCATATACCTAAGGAAATGTTATGGAGGCAAAGTAAAGAAAATGGTAAGTGCCTTCAGTTTTTGGTAGCATCACTTTTGCAACATGTATGACCCTAGTCTTTTTAATTTAGGCTAATGTTTATGTGGGATTATTTTCTGCTTCAGATCACAGTACAAAAGCCTGTGAAGGAAGGGGTTGAGGAAGTAGTGGATTTGGACCTGGAGCAGACCAGCTGTGAGGCGTGTGGGGGCAGTGACCGTGAGGACCGCCTCTTGCTCTGCGATGGCTGTGATTCTGGGTGAGATAGATATTTTGTACTGAACTAGAAAGGCATTGAACAGCACAGTCCTATGCTTCCATAAATGTACAGATAATGTGTGTATCTGTCTTGTGATTTGGAGCTGCTCCAAAGTTCTTCTATATCTCATGCCTCACCCTTCCACCATGAGATTGTTTCATAATGCTTCTCACAAACTAAACCGAAAACATAACATAACCCCTTTTGTTGGTGTGTTGAATGTTGTCAGCTTTTGCCTTTATTACAGAGGTATTTGTCATGCCTTATTCTTCTATAGGTATCACATGGAGTGTCTCACGCCACCTCTGGACTCTGTTCCTGTGGAGGAATGGTTCTGCCCAGAGTGTGAAGCCACTAACCGTCGCTCAAGTAAGCTTTACGTGCCTTCATAAATTCAATATTCAATGTCTTTGTGGAACTCTTTTCCAACCTAATTGTATCGCAAAAAAATATATAAAAAACGACATGCTTACCTATATCTATTTGTTATAATATATCAAGTGGCAATTTTTAAGAATTGTTAGCCACTATTAGCATATTTTTTACAATTTAGATCTTTTTGTTTCAGGGGTTTCAGCTGAAGAACTTAGCGCCACAGAGAGCCTTCCCTCTACCGCCCGTCCTGCCACCAGTCGCTTCCAGTTCGGTGCTGCAGGTCCCACCAGAGCCATCGCCCGGACACAGCAGAGCGAGAGGGTTCGCGCTAATGTCAACCGCCATCGCATCACACAGGCACGCTCCTCACAGGTTTGGCATGAGGCGTGACGCTTCAGTATTGGCTTATTTATTAACTAACTTGTATAGTATAAGCGCAGGCTGGGTTTTTGTGTTTTCATGTTCCACAATGTTTGTTGTTGTGCAAATAAGATTTACTGATTGCATTTGCGACTCATTTGGTGTGTGTTTGGATAATGTTATTTCGTGCTTCTTGGAGGAGAAATTATGGCATGAGTTTTTGACAGGTGTTGTCAATTTGATTTGTGATTGAAATGCTTGTGTTGAGAAGCAGTGCATGTGTTTTGTAGTTATTAATTATAAATAATGGGTTATCAAAGTGAACCAATGGAGTGCTGCAAACCTTTTTCTTCCTAGTTGGCTCCCACCTTTCTCATCCAGTCCACTTGGCTCGATGACACTATTAACGCTGTGGTGGCTGGGCTCAACACGGCTGTGTATATACGGGACTTCACCCCCCGCCCCCCAACTACTCACAGGCGCAAGACTAGTAAGTAATCACACACATACAATTTCACAACAGTTTTTTTGTCACATATTTAAACAGAAAAATATTTAGCGGAGAGAGAAAAGCAGGAAATAGTGATGAAGCTGTAATCGTTTAAATGTTATTGTTGTTTAAACAGGAAAGCGCAGAAAGGTCCGAAGAAAGACAACATCTTCTGCTAAAAGTAAAACAGGCAAAGCAGCAACTACAGGAGTGAAGAGGAGGAAACGGAGAGTGAGGAGGACTAAATCCAGAAGAAGGGTGAGTTTGTCATCATTTGTTGTTAACTGGAGGTTAATGTAATTCGTTTTTTTACATTTTCAGAAGAGTATAAATACAATTATTTATTCCTCTTGAATCTGTCAGTTGATTTCTCTCTAAATAAACTCTATACCTGTGATTTCCTGCTAGATCGTGAAAAAGCCAGCCACTCCTCGAAGCCGTATTGCTAATACTCTCCGAATTGTAAAGGACAAAAAGGGTTCTTCGCTTCCTTCAGTGTATCGGCCAGCAGAGAACACGCTAAGCAACATGCGTGCTGACATCGGTGCTGCATCTCTCTCTATCCACGGGGATCGATACGACCTGGATCCATTATCGGAACGGTAAGAAGAAGTCTTGTGCATATTGTGCTGCTGACACAAATACCATTTTACAGACTTCAAATATTTCTCATTGGTATGACCTAGGTCTGGGCCGGCAATATCATAAACCTTTTATATGTGGTTATCACCTATTAAAGTATATAACACATACTGTAGTTGGATAGTTCTTCAGAGTGTAACTGTACATAGCTAAGCATATGCTATTGTAATTACCAAGCTAATAGTGCATTGCATCATTCATTTGACCAGTGAGGAGGTGGAGCAGCAGGCCCGCGTCACATCGCTGTTGGAGGCCAAGAGACGAGGGATCTCTCGCTCCGCTCTGCGCTCTCACCAGCCTGTAGCTCGACCCGTCACTGCAGGCCATTCCAGGTAACACCCCCCTCTAACCATGATGTGTAAGGGTTGTTGTATTGAACAGCTCCTGTTTCTGAACTTCTGATTTTGAGTAACATGTTTTTGCTCATCAATCTCTACAATTGTACACGTTGAACATGTGCATGACATACATGCAGTGGCAGCTGGTCAATAGAGGGTGCTAGGGCGCCGCCTTCCCTTCCTCCCCAGTGGAACCTTTTTCTTTGTTTCAAATTAAATGTTGTATATTAAAAAAATTAAATGTAACTAATTATCCTCAGAATGTATGGGTTTAAATGTACAATAATGTTTAATATATATAACATCTAAACCACTATTACAGTATGTTCGATTACCCTCTCTCGCCTTTGTACAACCCCAGTCAGTGAAGGCTCCCCTGAAGTGCCAGTCAGATACTTTGAATCTGTTGATGAGTCTTCTCATATTTTAAAGCCTACATTTCCTTCCGGGGAATCATACCTTCTAGAATTGCTCGGTTACCATCTTCCACAGCCCCACCTAATATATTTTGCACCAGCTGCCACTGCATACACGTGCATTACATGATAGAAAATGCACAAATCACTGCTTTTTTTTATGACAATTTATGTTTATTTTATGTAATTCTTTAAAGCAAATCTAGTGTTGTTTTAAAATATTTTGGTTTAATCTTTTTTATATGTGTTTTGCTAAGAACCAAACATGATCAGGTGTTTTGAATGTTGTTATCATCACAATGGTATCTAGCTTGAAATATGATCTAATTAAGGATTTGCTTTGCTTCACCAGGAGAGGTATGGACGTTCCCCAATCAGCGGGTTTTGTTGAGGCGGCTCCTGTGCCCGACCTCCTGGGAAGCATCCTATCAGGACAGAGCGTCCTCTTGATGAACAGCTGTGATGTCGTTATCAATCGAGATGGTTCCCTTAAAGCTACAAAGTCATGTAAGTGTGTGGCACACAGCAAGACCAAAGATCACACGTCATCTCACTGTGTTGCTGTTGATGAATGTTCCAGTTTGCCCGAACTCTGACGTGAATAACATTCAAGATTCCAGGGTTTCTTTATCATATGCAAAGTAGCTACAGTGTAGTTATGGCAATGAAAATCTTAGGTCCCGAGCTCCTCCGACAATGCAACATATTATTATAGGACATAAGACAACAAAATTATAATAATACAAAAATAAAAATAGTGCAAATGAAACACAGTATAATACATTTGAATAAAATAGTGCAGGTGAAAGAAACAGAATGTAAGGTTAAATATTGTACAGTGAAATACAATCAAAACTGTTTGATCCAGTGATAAGTATTAAGATAATACATTAAATAAATTCTAAGATGCAACCAGATGAATGCTTTGGGTTATTGAGCACTTAAAGGTAGGGTAGGTAAGAATGGAGAAACCAGCTCGAATGCGCTAGAATTTGAAAATACACAACCGGAAAAAATCTGCCCCTTCCTTCAGACTTCCTTACAGAGCCCCTCCTCCAACACACACGAACGCGCACATGACCAATGAGGGCACGAGATAAGTTTGTGCACGAGATGGAAGGCTGACAGGCAGGTAGGCCATCCAGTTATTTTAGCCGGGCCGGCTAAAATGATTGGTCGTGCTTTTTGAAGCGCTACGGCTTCCACAGATGACATTTTGTTTTAATGTATTTATCGTCAAAGCATTTAATATATTCATTGCTATCAGGATGTTAAGAGCATTCCATGGAATATAACAAAAAGTTGTCTGAAGTGAATTACCTACCCCACCTTTAACAGAGCTCAGGCGGTTAGCAGTCTTATGGCCTGTGGGATGAAACTGTCCCAGAGTCTGGTGGTTTTAGTCCTGATTCTGCGGTAACGCCTGCCAGACGGCAACAGACAGAACAGTTTGTTGCTGGGGTGATGGGGGGGTCTTTTATAATCCTGATGTGAATAACTAATGTGAGCTGTGTACAGTCAGCTAAGCAAAGCAATAATTGAACTCTTCGTATGTGTTTTTTAAATTGTTTTTGTTTTTGTGTTGCAGTAATGCAATCCGAGTTAAACCCAGGCCACAGCAACGACAACAGCTCAGGAGATGCCAGCACCCAGATCAGTCCAATGATGTCCCCCAACCAAGGAGACAGTTCTCCGTCCCTCCCCTACAATGTAGACCAACCAGGATCCTCCCACAGTTCCATGAACAGACCTCTATCCCAGAGCTCCTCTCACTTACCCCCCCACACGCCCCTGCAGACCGGCCACATCCGACCATCTTCTCATTCAGACTTACCGCCCCGGGGTCACCCAAGTTTGCAGCTACCTCTTCCGATCAGACCCACGCACCCCCATGGTCATCAGAGAAGCAACGGAGCCCCCAGCCCCTCCCTAAGCACCAAGAGCAAGGGGATGGCCTCATCACAATCCCAAAAAGCACCTGCAAAGCCCATGTGGGTAGATGTGTCAGTGCTTCCTAGGATACCAAAAATAAAAAGGGAGAGCGGTGATGTCACAAATAATGACACCAATCAAGATGGCCGTGATCGTAGCAGCAGCAGCAGTAGTAGTAGGGGAAGCAGTAGCAATTCCACCACCAGTCGTCATGGTCACAGCCTGCCAGAAACAGGCATGAACAGTCTTGCTGGGGACAGGGGACGGCAGCAAAGTGTAGACCAGCAGAAGGGCCGGGCTGAGGGTCAGAGGCAGAGGCCCGAGGGACCTGGCTCTTCCTCAGCCTTCTCCAACTCATTCTCCTCCTCTTCATCCTCCATGGGCTCTTCTGCCAGCCAGTCTCGTTATTCCTCGTCGGCATCATCCTCGTCATCGGTGAGTTTCCGCATTAACGCAAGTGGGAACACGTGGCAGTCGAGGCAGGTAGGCAGCTCGTCACTTCCTGTCGCCGGAAGCAGTACGCAGCCGACCCGGGCACAAAAGGAAGACGATGCCAAAAAGAGGCAGCTGCACAGAGATAAACAGAAGCTGCTGGCATCGCGTACAGCGGTCAAACAGGAAGAAAGCAGCGATACTATCTACGATCCTTTTGATCCCACTCTGTCAGACTCGAGCAGCTCGGACAACGAAGCAGAGAGCGCAAGACTGCATGGAAGCTCCCAGAATGCAACACGCGAGCAGAAAACTTCTAGTTTAGTAAACAAGAAGCAAAGGCAGCAGGACCTGGTGACTGTCAAAACCGAATCACAGGACATTGAGGTCTCACAGGGAGAACCAATGAGAGCTGATGCTCAGGAATCCACATCCCAGGAGGTCAGATTCTCCGAAAAATATGTCAAGGTCGAAACAAAATCAAGACTAATGGATATGAAGTCTGAGAAAACAACATCATTACTAGCCACTAAAGTTGAGAAAGAACCAGGGTTGGATGACGCAGGGGGAGCTGAAAGAATTGGTAGCGGCGTTCAAAGTGAAAAGACAGAAGACACTTCACCACCTGTCCAACACAGACTGGATCTTTTCAAGATTAAGAGAGAAGAGGAGAGTGCACAGAGTGCTGTAACTCCTAACACTGCTCCTCGAGATCCATCAGCATCCAGCTCTACTCCCACCAAGAAGGAACAAAAGCCGGAAACTAAATCTGACTCTAAATCCTCTCACAAGTCAAGAGATTTGTGCCAAAAGAAGAAGACCTTCCAAGCTTCGAAGGAGAGGCGCTCTAAAAGCCCAGAGACAGACAGAGGGAAGAGGGGAGACCATCAGGCATCAGGCCCAGGAGGCAGACAAAAGGACAAGAGTTCCAGGCGGTCCAGGTCCAGAGAGAGGACTGGTGCACACTCAGTCTCTGAAAGCTCTCAGTCCCCTGTGAGGAAACGCCCAAAGAGACAGCGATCCCGCTCCCAATCCAAAGAGAGGAGGAGATCTAGGTAAATATGTAACACAATATATTGCTTGTATCAAATATTTAGTTTTTGCTGTTTGTCGTTGTTTGCTTCTGTTAAGGGTTTTTGTCTCTCATCACTGATTTCAGGTCTGGTTCTGGATCGAGCAGCAGAGAGCGTTCCAGAAAGAAGAAGCCTTTACAAAGGAGCAAGGAGAGAAGTGATGGCAGAGATCGAGACGGTGATAGAGGCCGAGAGTCGAAGGACAAGAGACACGGTCGGGGTCGCTCAAATTCACGGTCGAAATCACGGTCCAGATCCGTATCCAGGGAACGGAAGAAGGATCACACGCGACTGCCACAACCATCTCTCTCCTCCAAAGACAAGGAGGACTCTCGATCAAAAGACAAGGTGAGACGCAGGTCCAGATCCAGCTCAAGAGAGAAAAGGAAAGAAGAAGGATCTTCATCCAAGAGCGCTCCGAAGACTTCAGGGTCCCGCGTTTCGTCCTCTAAAGACACAAAACGGTCACAAGACAAGAAAAGAGCAAAGGATACACCTGTAAGCTCCATCAAAGACGAACACGTTGCCCCAGTGATCAAACAAAAGACTCCCTCCCATACTCCTGCCTCTGAAATGACAAAGAAAGACCATAAGGTAGAGAGCCAGGACACAACGGCAGAAAAAGCCACAGAGATCAAGGTTGAAAAAGAAATAAAGAAAGAAAAGCGACCATCTCTCGATATGTTTGAAGATTTGTTTTCTATTAGTGAACCGATTAAGAAAGACGAATCTGACATCCATGCTTTCATGGTGGCCAAAAGCATGGATGAGAAGGGGGAAAAAGAAGACCCCATCAAGACGGAGAAGTGTCAAATCCCCTTTATTAAATCTGAGCCAAGTTCCCCTAAATTATGCCATTCACCCCCTCTCCCCTTATCCTCCTCACTGACCACAGCTGTCCCAGCAGACAGTCTCCAGGATACAGTGTCTGACCCAGAGTTAATGGCCTCCAGAGAACAACCAGACTCTGTGAAGCAGGAAGTCCAGGAGCCCTCGGACTCTGATGATGACTTTAATGTCGATGTGATGCTGGACAGCCTGGACTATGTGAAGACCGAGCGCTCAGAGGAGAGCGGTGCATCTGTCAAACTGGAGGAGGAGGAGGAAGAAGAAGAGGAGGAGGAAGAGGAGGAAGGGGAGGAGGGGAAGAGCGAACAGATATCGACCGTAGCCAAATCCAAGATTCAGGGGAAGAGGGTCACCTGGAATATACAGGAGGGGCCTCAACCAGAAAAGAAGTCTGCAAGCAGTAAGTCCTGCTGCTGGGAGATGTCAAAAGCAATTTATTTTGTTTTACATACAATTTCCTTGATATTTTGTCTCGCTGTTACAGATCATAAAATGTATTTCTACTTTCAGCTTAAAGGTCCCCTATTATACTGTTTTCCCTCAATATATTATAGGTCTCAGATATATACAAAACATGTCTCTGAAGTGTTTGGCTCCAAATACCAAACAGATCACCCATTGCAGCATCCCATAAACCCCTCTGTTTCAGCCCTGTTTCAAAAGTGCTGATTCTCTGTCTGTTACTCTAGATGAAAATAAAGAGCCCCTCCCCACGCCCCTCTGAGAGATATTTGGTTAAAAAGAACACAATGGTGCTCTAGGAGGAGATTCAGGTGATAAGGTGGGGGGGGGGGGGGGGTTACCTTGGTTGGTGATTGGCTAATGGTTACACAAGCCAAAAAAACGTTATGACATCATAAAGTGGCCAAAATCTGATCAGCTCATTTTCAGATGGGTTTTTATATAAATAGATCAGGATAAAAAGTGAGCGAATCTTTTTTCCTGAAACTTTAAGAGTCTCTTTCCACAGAGGGGACACATGTTGATGTAGAAAAGACATGAAAAAGTAATAGGTGACCTTTAATGTTTTCTTTTGAATCTTTCCTGACAGAGCTGTCTCTGTATAAACTGAAGCTGAAGCAGGAAGGGGCTCGCAGACCCTCCTCAACAGGCCAGACATCCAGTCAGGTAGGACAGGTATTACCTAATAACAGATAACCTAATTGTGCTAGCTAAACACTACAAGTGTGTCATGTGATTGAATAACCAGAGGGTGGCAGTGCTTTATCTATAAAAGAGCAAATGTATTTTTCTGGGTGAAGTCACCTGACAGAAACTAAAACTGATACTGAGATCATTTCAGACTAAACGAAAGTAAAAGCTTTTGTGTAGAAACCTGCTGTCAACAGATTTGATTCAGTCACTTCCTCCTCCTACCATTATAATCCTCTACAGACATGTAATATATAAAAGTTTTGATGATGTAATAAAATGAGAAATGTTGATACTTCGCCATGGATTGTGGGACATTACAAGATTTATTTATATTAAGGCATTTTTCACAATTGTATTGACAAAAGTATCATTGTTTTGCAGCCCTAAATGATTTAATCAGTCTTTTATTCCTGCCTTGTGTAATCCATTTTCTTATCGTCCATATCATTTTGGTTGACTTTCACAGGACATCACTGCGGCTGTCCGTAAACCCTCCAAGCGGGGGGCTGTTGGAACCTCCTCTAGATCTGATGGAGAACAAGGAGAACCAGAGGAAGGGGAGTTAATGGGGAAAGATCAGGTGATTATGTGTTTGTAGTGTGTAATCGTTGGACTGAATAGAGCACTTATTCTCATGGGATATTTTGTTTGGACTAAACGTTATAACTCCTTTTCCTTTGACAATAGTTTTGGAAACTAATGTCTGATTTGTATAACCTTACCATCAGTATTTGAAGAAGCTGCACATGCAGGAGAGGGCTATAGAAGAGGTGAAGCTTGCCATCAAGCCTTTCTACCAGAGCAGAGACATCAACAAGGATGAATACAAAGAGATTCTACGCAAAGCCGTCCAGAAGGCGAGTACAACACTTTTGTTTGTCACCACTGCCGGAAAAACAAGAACTTTGAGTCAGTATTTCCTGAGAATATAAAATATATATAATATTGCTTTTGTTCCTGGTCACCAGGTGTGCCACAGCAAGAGTGGGGAGATCCACCCAGTGAAGGTGGGCAATCTGGTCAAGGCATACGTGGACAAATACAAACACGCTAGGAAACACAAGAAAGACGAGGACTTGGGGCAGGAGGATGATGATATGAAAATCTCTGATAGCCCGTGAGGAGGCAAACATTGAAGGCGAGGACAGCCACTCCCACTGCTAACACTTACCCATACACCATGTTTCACTCTGAGTCATATTACTGGCTGTGATCTCCAACTCTACAATCAAAATGGTAAACTAGCAGCTTCAAGATTTAATGTCTTGTGCTTGGACTGTCACTGCCAAGAAGCGGACTCTTTGTGTTGATCATCTCAGAACCGGGAGGCCTGGAGGTTGTGCCTTAAAGAGGCAAATCTCAAACCCTCTCAAATCACCCCCCCCCCCCATGGAGCCAGAAATCAGGTAGCTTCGGATGCAGCTCGGGCTTTGAGTTTCACACGGCTGTTTTGTGGGTATTTATCAGTGACAACACTTTCTGTTGGTTAAGAAGTGGTAGAATAATATGCATTATTTGCATATTTAAGACATTTGTAACGTTAAGGAACAACACTGTTATGCAATTTTTGTAGAAAGTGTATCCGTAAAGATATGAAACCATTTTAGTTGTTTGGTTGTAAATAATATAGATTTGATATATCCACTTATGTTCCTTTCATCTGTGTTGCGAATGACTGATATAAATGGTTCTAGTTTATAGAGCTGACTGGTTTCTGTTTTGTATTATCCGTCTTCCACATCCCAAACAATGTTTAAAGAGCTAAATCCAGTCCAGCGTAGTGCAGGGAAATTGTGGCTCCGCAGTTTCAACAGTCACTTCTTTCTAAGGATTATTTATTGTGTTATTTTCCAAGCTGAATTTTAGCTATTGTCAGCCTTTGTTAGAAATGTGAAAATAGAGGTTTATCTAGGGAATCATTTGTTTTTTCCAAATTGGTAGGAGAAAACATGCACTCATTTTCTCAATAATAGAGATTCAATTTGTTTTTGCCAATTCTTTTTTTAAACAGTTGCGACTACTACTCCACACTACCGTAAGTATACATTTGAGTTTGAAGTGGAAAGAGTTAAAATACAGCCTTCATGTTCAAAAAGCTCAATGGGTTTCAGTCCCCAGAAACATTCATTTCTGTATTGCGTTGCTGTCTTACCTGGTGCACTCATGTCAACATACCCTTTAACAACCGTTTGTTGTTGTTGTATGTAATATATATTAATACGATTTTTTTTTTTATTTGCATGTAAATCCATGGTTTTTGAGATCAATGTATAGTCCATAAATAATAGGAACAATAGAATATCTCATAAATCGCAGCAATTTCCAAGGTAATGAACTGTAATCTGTTCAGGGTTCACTTTGAGGTGTCTGCTATACTAACAGTAATCACAGCTTCACTAGGACTGCTTTGTCAATGTGTCTTAAAACTGAACCTCACTCTTTGCTTTCTTTTACCGAAATGTTCATGAGAAAGTCATTCTGTGTGTAAACTGTCAATAGCAGTTTGTTTGCTGTATGAGGGTGGTTGGACTTGCCTTGTACTTTGTCACGTTAAATCAGCTTTATAAAGCCAATAAATAGGAATGAAAACATTTTCAAACACAGGTGCTCGTGTTTATCTGATTGTATTTTACTTTTTTCCGCATTTACTTTAGACAGGCCAGGTGTTTTTAAGAGGGAACACTAATGATAATAAATCACTGAAGATGAATAGGGTTTGTCTCAATCTAATCTTTTTACTATTTATTTTTCCTGATGTCATTTTTCGGCTCAAGGAGTGTTTGGCTTTAGGTGGTAACATCTGAAGATATTCTATGACAAGCATAGAGATGGCCCTTTTTATATTCTCTCTCTAAGTATCTCAAGTGTGTTGGTGTTACTTTAAGACTGAAAACACATGATTCTGTTTTGGACAATGTTTTTATAGATAAATTGACATATTTCTCTTTAATTCATCAATCGTCATTATCCACGACCACTTAGGGTCTTTCAATGTTAGGCTTGATTTGACTTATAAGAAAGCAGTACATTATAACCTTAATTTGATTAATTATACATTCTCTGAGTATTGCCTCCCAGCCTTTCCGAGTCCTACACTGCAGCACAGTGGTAATAAACTGAGACGTCATTCGGAGTTAAACAGTTTATTTAATATCTTAACAATGACAGTTTTTTCAAAGAGATTTTTCCAGTGTAAAAAGTGCAAAAAACGAGTGTGAAAATGGTAAGTGCAAAAACATTCATCACAAACAAGGAAACATTGCAGTCAATGGCAGCATGACTCATACAGAAACATACATCCCCATCCAGTTTAAGCATTTTACAAGTTCATAAATATCGAAAAACGTAACAACCTATGAAGGATTTCCCATCATTTAGGGCCTCATTCTGTTCCTACGTACATATATAATATTAATGGAACCGTACATTTCATTAGCAGGTGATTTGACATTTACAGTTATCATATAAAAGTGTATTCTAAGGCAAGACCTGTGGCCTTTGAGTGAGTAATGTAACAGTCCAATAGAGGAAGAGCTCATATCTACTGGTGTAGTGATAAAAAAATGTTTCCCAACATTTGTGACTAATAAAAACAGGAGGCATTGCAAAGCAGCGACGTGTTTGATTATTGACGGTATATTATGCAATCTTCAAACTAATTCCTATTCTTTGCGCTTCAGCTTCTATGACACATTCAACAATTTACCAGTTTGAGAACTTTTTTTTTTGCATAGCTTGGGGCAGAGCAGAGGGTGGTCCCATGGATAGTTGAGATTTGAAAAGTTTGAGTGATTTCATATTTGAGTTTGAAAAGGTGCAGCAGCCCTCGCCGGCTCTTCAGCTGTGGGTAGACTAAATACGTTGTTAATAAGATCAAAGAGGCTGTTGTGTGAGATCTGTAGGCTGACATTGCTGCTGTGAAGAGACGAAGCCCCCTCCATCTGGGCCATCTCATGAAAGTGTCGACAGATCAGAGGGACCACCTGCGGGGGTGAAGTGACACATTGAGACATTTTACAACACATATCAAAACGGCATAACTAAAAGGAGCCGATCTCCAATCCTGTATGTGTCTTTGAGGTGAAACTAGAAAAGAGCGTTACCTTGACAACGATAAGCTTCTTCTCTAAAGGTTTCCCATCAGGAAACTTCTCTCCAAAGCACATGTTGATGGCGTATTCAGGAGAGCCACCATTGTTCTCTTTAAACTGCTTCAGTTCTGAAACAGATACAGGTGGGAACATTTATTCCATGGTGCAAGTTAATGCTGGCTTCACACAGAATGTAACCGTTATTACACACAATGTCATTTTGTTCCTACTGTATAAAAAGCGAGAGATGTATACATACCATGCACGTACTTATCAAAGCTCAGGAGCGTCACCATGGTGTTTGGGGGCAGCTTGCTGGGGTTAGGGTGAGCCACGCTGGGATCACTGGTGCTGGCAAACACATGGCACTTGTCCTGCCTACAGGCGTAGATACCGGTGTCCCGTACCTCCAGGAAGAGACCTCTCTGGATGCTGTTCAGGATGCGGTTAGTGTACTCAACCTGGTGTAAAGAAAAAGGTTGCCATTAGAAAAACTTTAACCTTAAAAAAAGTTTCCAGGATGTACAATAATATATGAACTTAAGGGAAAACTCAAGCCTTGCATTTCGGATCAAAGTTCTTGGAAGGGGATTTTTATCAAACTTGTTCCTTCAGTTAATGCTAAATTAACACATCAGACTAAACTTATTTACCATTTGTGGCACTAAAAGCAATGTTTTGACTAGAGGCTTCCCAATTTGTTGGTTTCGTGCTTGGACAAAAACGCTGGTGATGTGAAACGCATTCCTAGAAGAAAGCATATTCACTATGTGCCACACTGACAGGAGCCTATTTTAAGTGTTTGGTTGGTTGCCAAGGACATTTAGCCTGAAGTTAAACTTGCAATATTTGGGAGTTCAGATCCATATCACATGTTTTTACAGCTATACAACAATCTCAGTTGTACAGATAACAAAACATGATCCTTGAGGTGTTTTTCAGTACATTTGTAGGATTTTGTTTTGTTTTTTATTTCCACAAAAGGCCTATTTGATGTTATCATGTACCTGCTTTTGGTCGAGCAGACCATCAGTGGAGGGGAAGCAGAGACTATGTGCGTTGAACTCGGGGACCTCGTGGTGGTAATGGAGCTGGAGAAGTGCAGTGCTAAATGTAGTCTTTAGCATTTCTCTTTTCCTGTAGTGGATGGAGATCTCCAGGTCATATATAGTCGGCTGCAGAGGTGAACTGAGGACTTGTGGAGGATTTACTGTAAAAATAAATGTTAAAATAAAATACATCACATCTTTATAGAGACAATAAAGGAATGATTTTATCAGGCTGAACATTTCCTTACAGTAAGCAGGCTGCTCTGCTATATGCTGTGGATGGCTCTCGGCTGCTACAGGATAGCTTTCAGGGACAGCTGGATTCTGCTGAACATAGTCTTCTGCCCATAGTTGCACATCTATCAAAGACAATACAAATCAAATTAAACTATATTTAACCTTCATTACTAACCATGTAAAACCATAAACAGGTGGATAGGACATTCTTCTATGACTTTATGGTACTGCGTTTTTGCTCTACCTGATGGCTGGCTGCCAAGATCCAAGGTCATGAAATTGTTCAGAAGAATTAGCTGTTTGGAGGGAAAAAGCATAGTATTGAGGCAGTTAGTAAGTATCTAAGGGAAGAAAACACCACAGAGAAAATCTGTTTGATATCACACCAATTAACAGAAAACCCAGACAATATTGCACCTCATTTCCTGAAGGTTGGTCCTCTGTGGGAGAGTTGTAGATATCTGGACTCATGTCAGCATCCTCCTGGGAGTCTTGTACTAGCTGACTTTCAAGGTTGCCTGCTAAAGAAAACAAGGGCAGATTAATTTGCATTCAACTCTTAACAGTGGAAGTATAACACCTGGATTAAGTGACTCCTCTTACAGTCAGTGTTGATGATCTCATAGATTTTATGAGGGTCTTCCTTATTCTTGGAATTATCCCTTATCATCTCGAAGCCTTTAGAGAGGTTGTTGAGAGCGCATCGGAAGTTGGTTTTCCACCTGGCCTTGTTGTTTGGGAACTCGTGGATTTTTCCACTTGCTTCTGACCATGCCTGTTAACCATAAAAACACGAGATAAAAGCCACTCCATATGCTCACATTACAAATGCTGTCACTTTCAAATGTAATTATGATCACTAGGGAAATTAAATGATCCTAAAAGCTGTAATTGCACATGAGAACCCACTTTAAGTTCTTTGTGTGGACAGTTTGATTGTTGGATTTCCACTTAACACGAAGTAACAAAGTATTTTGAACAACCTATATTGTGGTATTGCTACTTATATTCAAGGGAAGTGGAAGTGAGATGTTGGCATGCTATAATTGCCACTCTAAACACCTGCCGTTATTAAATAGCACACAGTCATTATGACATTAAGGAATCTCTAATGATGTCAACAAAGCCATTAACATTTTATCTAATCAAATTTTGCCGGATCATACCATACATGTAATTGCAGTTGCATGTGTAATAGGAGCTGTTCAACCTACCCGGAATATTTTACTGTCTTCATCATTGCAGTCCCTTCTGGAGTTGTGCTTCCAAGGAACTCTGAACTTGTTTTTGCCCACATAGCACAGGCCCGGGTACTGGCCCGCCCCAACCTGCTCTATGAGCCAGCTGGAAAACGGAGGCTTGGTAGGGCTGAGAGGAAACATGACAAATCAGTGTTGTTCTTTAGATGACACATTTCACAAGAGCAGAGAGAGGAAATGGACTCCAGAAACTAAACCACACATGCACTGTGCTAAAAGCTACTGGCAGCTTAGGAAACAAGGTGAACTATGTTTTTACGCAGAGATATACAAATGAAAAACACATTCAGCACCCTGTGATATTCTACATGGTCTGCCCAGATAGTTTTCAGCAACATGCAAACTTATTCAGCCTACAAAAGTATTTAGTTAAATCATCACACAAATCAGGTTTGACAAGGAACTAACTACTTCACAATACATTCAAATAACACCAAAACAAACAAAGGCATATAATAAATAAAGAAGGAAGAGAGGGCATAGATGAGGCTATCCCTACCTTTGCATGTCTCAGTAGATGTGTTGCTCTCCAGGGTGTCTGTCGCTCTTCAGAAGCACCTTTGCTGATTTTATAGAAGCAGAACCAGTGACACTGTGATGTTTTTATCTCTCCTCCCCCGTGGGAGGGCGCAGCTCCAGGCATTTCCGATGCACGAATGGGTGAGTTTGATTTAAGGAAAAGCAAGACGTTACCTCCTCACACAGAGCGCAAAACAGACTCCCGGTGGATAAATTAAAGGCACCCTCTGCAGACCGGATGAAGTGCTGGGTTGGTTGGAAAAGGGACATTTCTCCGAGGGAGGTAATCGAGGCAAAATGAAAGTGGGTTTTTTGACACGTAATTTTGTTCTTGCATCACCACGTCATCTGTATTTCATCATCCACCCAAAATTATTGTGTTCTCGTAGGCGCTTTCGCCCACTTAACCTGCAGGCAAGCTTAGTGTATTTAAATAAAATCAATAGCAGTATTACTGTCTGGAATTTAGAGGTGTAGAGTGTAGGCTACTTTTGGCAGCAGTGTTACACTTGCCAACTTGTCATTCGCAAATTAGTTTATTACTTTAGGATCGCCCTTA